AAAAAAAAAAAAAAAAAAAAAAAAAATTGCTGGTGAAATCAAGGTGTCCGATGATGGAGGCGCCTGGCATCGAAACGGTGGTCGGAAATGCGTTTGCCGGACGGTGAAGAGCCTCGGTGGCCGCATGATGAGGTCCTCGACGGCGGACAAATTGATTGTTTAGGAAAAGTAGTTTGATATTTTGAAAAGTAGTTTGATATTTTTATGATTTAGAATAGGACTTAGTTTTGTGAATTTGAATAGTCTTAGGGGCATATGTGTAGTTTTTAACTATTTTTTTTATATTTCATTGAGTTAGTGGGTTAATTTGTAAATAATCAAAATTAATTAATATTTTAATATCCCCAGTTAATGTTTGGTATTTTGTATTTGTTATGGCTAAATATAATAATACTTTATATAAAAAAATATAATAATAAAATTAATATTTATTTATATAATTCAGTTGTTCGATTATCTAAATAACAAGTTATTGAATTAGCATAATCGAGTTCTTAAATTTAAAAAATGGTAATTGAAACAACATTTAAAAAATTGAACTAAGATTATTAGCTTGGTCGAACAATTTTATATTGTGCAACCCAATAGTAAGTATTGTGCAATTCGTATAACATTAATGTGCAATCGCAATACATAAAATTATACAAAAAAATAATAATATTTCGTTTCAGTTATTTCGTTTATTAAAAAAAAAAAAACTGACACCGAACTAAAATAATCGAACTTTGTATTGTGCACTCACAGTGCATTCATTTTTTATGCTTCACACTCTAAAAATGAACAGACATAATCAATTTATTCTATCGCTTAATTCAAACACTATAAATAATCAAAACATTATTTCGTTATATTATAAAAATATATTTAATCTTTTAGCATTATATATATACATATGAAAAGACCTAAAATTCATATGCAAAAAAATATAACAAAATATATTAAAATATTATGTAGAGCTTATTTTTTTTTTATGTCTGGTGTGCGGTACTTTTTTTGTGGGGTTTCGTGATAAAGTGTAGTGTGCTATTTTATCAAGTGCAATGTGTTGTTTTATAAAGTACAATATGTAGATATATAAAGTGCACG